CAGATTGGTTGATAATTCAAACTTTTTATAATTGATTAGTGGGATCACTTAGATCGATTATAGATGCTGCAGCTGGTGGTTCGTTAATGTCAAAACCTTTCAATGAGGTTTATTCATTAATAGAAGAGATGGCTACCAACAATTTTCAATGGCCCTCTGAACGGGTAAATCCTAAAAGAATAGCTAGATCTATTAGAACTTGGGGAGAACTTTCACAAAAATTTCTATCCAAATATTTCCCTCCATCCAAAACTGCTAAACTTAGAAATGACATAACATCGTTCTGTCAAATTGATGGAAAGTCAAAATACGAAGCTTGGGATTTAAAGATCTTCTTAGAAAATGCCCTCATCATTCGTTACCAGATTGGTTGATAATTCAAACTTTTTATAATTGATTAGTGGGATCACTTAGATCGATTATAGATGCTGCAGCTGGTGGTTTGTTAATGTCAAAACCTTTTGATGAGGCCTATTCATTAATAGAAGAAATGACTACCAACAATTTTCAATGGCCCTCTGAACGGGTAAATCCTAAAAGAATAGCTAGTATCCATGATTCTGATGCGATATCTGCGTTAGCTTCCCAGATTGCTGTAATATCAAAGAAATTAGATCATTATGGGATGAATTATTCTCCAACACCTCCTATGATGGAAGAGAATTCATTGGGCAATTTGTGGATGTTCAACCTTCATATGAGACCTTAAATGTTATTAATAGATTCAACAACCCTTACTCAAACTATTATAACCCATGTTGGAAGAATCATCCTAATTTTAATTGGAATAATAATTCTTCTACAAATCAAGTACTGTGGAACCAAATCCTAATGATCAAGGAAAAGAACAGATAAAAGCGATACAATTACGAAGTGGAAACGAATTGGGGACAAGGGCACAAAAAGAAATAGAAATTGAAAAAGAGAAAGTGGATACAAAAAAAGAAAAGGATCATGAGTACCCAGATTTAGAGTATCCACTTAACATGGGTCAATATTTGCAAAATCAAGGAAATC